TTGATTTTTTCTTTTTTTGTGGTTGTCCATTAGAATAAAAAAAATGTATATTTCAAACTTTAGATCAAACAAATAGTTATAAGATGGTTTTTTAAAGTTGTTGCATCATATTATCGTACAACAATTGCATGAAATCATTGCTCCTTTATTTTTTACCCTTTTGGAATCGTTATTGCAATAGAACTAGGACGTTAAAAGTATTCTAAAAAAAAACTGCTTTCATGGGGGACAAAAGACGAAAAAAAAAAAAATCAAAAAGGACAAACCAAGAAAAATAAAACAGAAAAAACACATACTCAAGATTTTTTGTAGATTAAAATAGAGCTTCTATACCCAACAAAAAATAAAAAAAGAAACATAAACATCAATCTCATGGAGTCATCAACACCCTCAGCTTGTGGAACTGTGAAAAGTATGGCGCAGAGGGTTGAGAGAGAGGCGAGGGGGGCTTTGCAAGAAGGCAGGAGGACACAGGGGATAGCAAGACGGGCGAGCGTTTTGCGAGAAGGCAGGACACAGAGAGACATAAGAGCGAGGGTTTTGTCTTGCCTGTTTTTTTGTGGTTGCAACCTTGTGGTAAACTCAAATGAAATATTATTTCGGGTCCGCACGAGTAATGGATCACATAGGACTTGCTCCCCACTTTGTGGGGTGGGAATTTCTTTTTGCTCCTGTGGGTGGTAAAATATTTTCCTGTAGGACAAGTTCTCATCGACTTCACACATGAACCAAGCGTGTGCAACTTTATGATTCATATGAAAATTGTTTCATGAAGCAAGTTTTTAGACGAATCAAATGAGCCCTAGGTATATCTACTCACCTTCACATTAGGTATGTCGTCTGCTTGTTTGAAAAGAGTGATGTCAATTCATGTCTTTTGTCCATTGTTTACTGTAACATCCAAACATCTTTCGATTTCTCTTGGAAATTGGAAACATTCCTAATAGCACCGCAAAGAGAGAGAGAGAGAGAGAGAGAGAGAGCATATTTTGCGAGGACAGCCTTTATTTTCTCTGGAAGACATGGTCTGTTTCCTACTCATGGGCAGTCTGTGTCCCACAGTTATATTATACATGTTGCATATGACTTGCATTCTTTATTTCAAGGTTGCATGCCAGTTCACAACTCACAGTTCAAAGCTTCTTCTTCTTTTTCGGAGCCAATCGAGAAGAAGAGATCAAGTTGAACTCTGCCTTTGACAACCACCAGGCAAATGATATCACTAAAGCTGGTTAGATATATTTCGAAAGTATGTTAGGACATAATAAAATACAAAAGGAGAAAGATTCATTGCTGTTAGTACATCTTTATACCTCCGAGAGCACTAGTTCCACACTGAGAGTATCTGATAGGAATATTAGAGTCCAGGTCGTCCTCACATCTTAGATCTTACTTTCTCAATAAGCTCTCTTCGAAGGATCTTTCCGGATGCTGATTTTGGTACACTATTCACAAAGGTCACCCTCCGCAATCTTTTGAATGATGCAACCTGCATCAATCATGACATTGATGACATTGATGCATCAATCATGACATTGATCAATTGGCCACACATGCAAATACAAGTGCTCACATGGATGTACCACATTTATCCGACATCCATAATGAATGCACAAATGTGTGTATGCGTGTGTGTGTGCACATTCTGTATATGAAGCGGACTCACACGTGGCATAAATTCCAATGTCCACCAATGAATCCCAAGGGGTCCAAAGTTTTTAACCCATTGCCTCGTGACATGGAGATCTTCATCTCAACCTCTGGTTTCTAAGTTTTAACCATAGTTATACTTAAGGCATGTATATTTGCATGTTTGCCGACATGCATAACATTTGGGGAGTCAGCGCACTCTATACATGTAGGTGTAGAGGAAAAACATACAAACACATAGTAACTGGAACTACATGCGTCACATTCATGACTAGAAAGTCTTCATGCACATGGTCACACGATATTTTTAAAGTGAAAAAGTAGAATAAGAACTTGAAATTCGAAGTAATTCATTTACCTGCTTTGCTACAAATTCCTGGACATCTTTTTCAGTGATGGAGCTCCCTTGGGAGCGAACCACATAGGCAATGGGAACCTCCCCTGCTTCTGCATCAGGAAAACTGCAATAGGAAAAACTTAGACACTAGGAACAAAGTAATAAACCAGCAATCAAACTTTAATAGCCCTGAGATAGCACCACTCCCTACTCCCCATTCCCCCGATATGAGATAAAATAAAACTCAAATCCATCAGTGATAAATGTTCTCTCTACTTCTTTTCAATAGGCACTGCAACTTACGGGATGACAACAGCATCTAGAATCTCAGGATGAGAGAGAAGCAGTCCCTCGAGCTCTGCAGGTGCAATCTAGAAAAGGATCACGACGTCAACAACTTATGTCCTACAGAAATTTGCATTTACCGTTTACAAACTAGTCAGGAAGAAGATGGATTATGATCCAAAAACAGAGAAGATCGATAAGATAAAAAATGAATGAGATGTCTCCACTCTCTAATATATTCTACAAAGTAAACTACAGGATCAAACTCGTCTTTTATGACCAGGAGCAAAGGCAAAGAGGAAGATAAAGCACTGTTATAACTGTACCATAAGAATGTTCAGCATAACCAATGTGATTATAGATGTATATGTACCCAACATAATTTTCTTTTGCATCAATACCCAACCCATATTGTTCACTATTAAGGGCCTTATCCTACATAAATGCATAGTCTAAAATTTGCTTGGACCATATTGATTTCTATGTAGGAATTCACACATTGTAAAGCCAATCTAAAACTTATATTTTATGTTGTTTAGGATATGTTATGAGGAGCAGAACAAGTAATGTGATAAAGATATTCAGAAGCTCTTTTATTTTTTTATTTTTTGGTTTTGGTGGGGGGCAGGGTGGAGAGGAGGGCAAGAGTGAAAAAGAAAGAAAGATGTGGGAAGCATGGTTTCACAAAGAGGACACCCCTGCTATTGCCCTCACGTGCAAGTCTGCTAGATCATTGGCCATTCGCGGGACATGCTGAAAAGTGACTGGCGCAGCGTGACAATGAACATGAATTTCATGATGTTTTCTAATATCCAAAGGGGGTGCAACCTCCCCCTTGGCCCATTGAATAACATTTAAGGAGTCTCCTTCAACTTGGAGAGGACCAGTGAAGGAAACGCAAACGAGGTGCACCCCCATGAGAAGGACCAATGCTCCAGCCCTATTAGCATCTCCACTACCAATTGGGACCCATATATACACTACGAACAAACCCCAAGGATCCCTAATGGCAACCTCAACATCCGATGCACCCAGATCCTATGAGCTCTCATCAAAATTATTGAAAATTATAGAAAACTTGGAACTTTTATTATCATTTATAATTCAATATATTCCCTTTCGAACAGGACAATACTGTAAAATATAAATATCAGCTAGATTTCTAATGATATTTAGAAGTTATACTAAAGAATGCTGAGCCATGTAGAATTTCTACTAACAATGCGAAGACCTCCTAGAAAGCCCACCCAGAATTTCAAGATACTAGTTTCTCGATCACTGCAAACAAACCCCCAAAACCCGCTGGAACTGGCTTTCCTTCAGCAAAACCATCACAATTTATCTTGAGAAGGTTTGAATTGCATTGTGATTGACCTATGATGCTTACCGCACCTTACAAACTAAAACATCTGATGAGCATCAGAGATGCAAGGTAATCGTGGGGTATGCTTCAACCCCTCATTAACATATAGAGAAAAAGGGAATCTCTGTTCCCAGTAAATCAGAAAATGGAATCATTATCAGAGGAAGGATGTGCTTGGGCATATGAGATAGTAATTTCCTAATTACAAATAACACAAAGATGAGGGATCTGTCCTTTAACATAAATTGGGACATTGGGAGCTTAATTTAATTATATATCATTCAGCTGGATCTCATCATTGCTTTTGGCATAATGAGCCATTTTTAAAAGAAGTATGATGAAGTCGCACCATGGTGTATATCAACACTTATCCGGAGTGTTTGTTCTTAAACTCACATCTTGTAATAGGATTACACAGAAGTATTCTGGTAGAGCTGTATTACAAATAAGGGATCCAAAACAGTCCTGTACAAATGTAGAAATAATATTGCACCCTAAAAATGAGAAAAAGAATCAGCTTCCACGTAAAGAGAGTACTGCACTAGCAGAGCTCGGAAGATAATGCAGCCGTTGAAACTTTAGTATGGAACCAATATTCTCATTCACAAGTGTATAAATAAGTTTTACATTGAAAAATGTTATTCCTAATAGCATCTAAAAAAAAGAAAGCAATTTGACTTATCAATCACTATAAACAGGTCAAGTCATGGTTGACAGAATATTATGATTGTGAACATAACTAGGAGTATCCACCACTGAGAGAAATTTATCAACCTGAAAGCAAACTGAGAATGAATGACATGCATAAACCAAAGCTTTAGTGTTTTACAATTTGTATTCATTTTTTATGTTCGTCTTCGTCTTAAGGGGTATTTCATTCATTATTGTTCTCTACAATTCTACAACCCTAGAGGTAAGTTGGTCACAGCTAATATGAAAGAAATACCAAATTCCCTTTCTCAGAAGATTTTCTTTTTAATAGCACAACCTCTAGGAGAAAATTACATGCCGTGGATAATAGTTTCCAATAGCATATATCTCACGAGCTATAAAACTAACTTGGAGCAAGAGAATCTGTCAACAAAGTACATGCTAGTATGTATGCCATAAATTGGAAATAGAGACCAAAACTTTAAAAGACATCAGCCAACTCATGATTCCTCTTGCGCATGAGATGATTAGGGTCTTTCACTTTTCGGTTTATGCAGGTCAGTGGTTAGGGCATTGATGGCTACAGCACAATTTCCAAGGCTCGACTCCGAGCCAGACTACCCAGAATAAAGAGAAAGAACTTAAAAGCTTATGCAAGCAACTCGCCTCCTTCACAAGATTAACAATATCCAGCTCTCAGGATAAGAAGATAGCAGTGAATTGGAGAGATAATTTACATCACTCGTACAAGAAACATAGAGACCATGGACATTAGTTCTTTTTATGGTTAGGAATCATGTCATATTGATATTCCATAGTTAGGATACTGAAAAATGATAGATGGGATTGTATACTATATGAGAAATGCAATCATATATCGTATGCATTGCATGTATAATACAGTACAGGGTCCGGTCATCTACTGCCCATTTTCATCAACAGATGGTAGACATGCGTCATTGCATTGATGGACTTAAAAGCGAACACTAGCCCATTTCTACCATCTGTGAACTGACAGAGGACTGTTCTCTGCAGCATATATTACACTAGGAATGTTTATAAAACATTTTCCTATGATAGTTAACCTGAAATGCTTTGTACTTGATAAGCTCTTTAATTCTATCAACGACAAAAAGTCTCCCTTCATCATCAAAATACCCCAGATCTCCCGTCAGCAGCCATCCTTCCTTGACTATTGTAGACTTGGTGGCCTGTGGATTGTTGAAGTAACCTGCCAAAATATTTAGCCAAGGTCAGTGAATTACTTGAGTAAGTTTAAACCAGTATGCCGGGACTGGCCTTGGCCAGGGCGAGTTACTCAGGGGAGTCATAACTTGGCTGAGTCCTACACATGACCAAAGGCCCTAAATAAATTTTAAAAATATAGGAAAAATTCTGAAAAATAAAAATAAAAAAGAAAAAAAAGTAAAATAAAACCGAAAACAACTTTAAAAAGTTAAAAAAACTTAAAAAAGTTGAGAAAATAATGGATTTAAAAAAAAAATTTGATTTACAGTTAGGGACATTTAACAAAAATCCAAAAGAAAAGGTAAATATAAGAATGGGGATTATGGCAAGAAATATTCACCAATCTTTGCTAAAAGCATCCAAATCATTATATATATATGGAAAAGTATAAAATGAGACCATTTATCTTTGATACAAGGTGGTCACAATTAATCTTGACCATTGGATGTGAAATTGGGTGGCTACATTAATTGCATTCACCAAGCTCAAAATTTAAAAGAATTTTTCTCGAACTTTGTGATACATCCAAGCTATCAAATTTCACATCGGTTGGTTGTAAGTAATGGTGACCTCCTTGTATCCAAGATAATGGCCTCATTGTATACAATCCCTATATATATATATATATATATATAACATTTTTTGAAATCTTTCAAAAAAATTTAAAATTTTTAAAAAATTTAAATTTTGCTTACATACCCCAGGTGAGTCCTATCACACTGGTTTAAACAAAAGAATTAATATCACACATAAAGCAATGCCTCTAATAACATGACAACACTAGTTGTAAAACTAGGGGACTGCAGATGCCATCAATTGCAAGGCATTGGTAAAATTTTATTTATTTTAAACTTGTAGCAAAGAGAGAATCAGGTAAAAAAGGTCGTAAAAATAAGGGACTGCAGATGCCATCATTTGCAAGGCATTCGTAAATTTTATTTATTTTGTCCTAGTAGTAAAGATACAATCAGGTAAAAGGTCGTCTGATGGATTTTCATAAAAGAATTCCATAGATATCGTTTCAGCAACATTTTCTTTTCATCGCCTACTTAGGCACTTCAAAAGTGGCTGTTGAGTCCCTCACCAGAAGAACTGGTAAAAAAGCTCATCAGATTCGAGATCATACATTAATCCCCTAATTTCCCCTCAGGAGAAATTATTCCAATGAGTTTCATGATAAGAATGGTACCTAGTAAATCTAAAAAGCTCAAATTTATTAATTAATGTATACAATTGCTATTTATTTGCCACAACATTATGGAGGAGTGAATGGAAAACTAAAATTATCGTATAGAGTACCAGAATTCTGAAATGTTGATTCAAATTACTTTCTCTGGGAATTGAGAAGCACCATACAAACTGATTAATGCATGGTTCAAAGTTCTATAGTATCAATAATTACATATATAAGTTGCATTTGACTAGTAATGCTTTTGGTATGCTTTGAATACAATATCGATACAGCATTCAGCAATACGGGGTAGAAAAATAGCTCCTGATCGGCCTACTAACCGGAGCAGAATCTGGGAAAAGAAAATAATGGAAGCTTTTTATTTTTTCTTCTTTTATTTTTGTAGATCAACAAAAAAGATCAGAAGGGTTTAAGTCAAGTAACATGAAGGTGCAAACAAAGATGCAAAACCAAAACAAAAGAAAAAGAAGCAATAGACATACATAATATAAAGTTAGAAAAGGAGAAAGTCTTGATTTAAAGAGTTCCCGGAAGTCCCTTCCGTGGGAGGAAATGTGCCTAATTCCCTGTGCACATGATATCAGAATACCACCTCCTTTTCCTCTGTCTTAAAAGTTTCCCATATGATATTAACAAATCTCGAGGGGCAGTCTTTTTCTTGTCAAGCCTATCTAATGCCAATGGGCAAGTGTCCTTCAAAGTAAAGGACACTTTGAAAAACTGGAAAAAAACCTTAAGATGCAATAGAAGCACAAGGCCACAAGCACACTCACCTCAACATCAAAAGAGGGACAAATGCTGTCACAATATGAATGGTGGTTCCTAACAAGGCCATGGTTTCTCAAAATATTGATGATGAAAATTGTAGAAGAAAAGGTCCTCTTTATGCAATTAATTACAGAAAAAAGAAACAAAAACCATTGATGCATATGGCTAGCCTAGACTTCACTTTTTTTTCTGGGATTTTCTAGGATAAACATCACCTATTTTCCAATGGGTTCATTATAACCCCAAAGTCCTGTCCTTTTTACTTTATGTACCCCTCATATATCCCAACATATATGTGACAAAGAGAGCATTTTAGTAAAGTTTCCTCACTAAAATTTAAAGGGAATTCAAAATTATGAGGGGTATCTCAACCAAAACCCATTCTCTCTTTCTATAAAAGCCCTCCCTCCAATACAACCCTGACCTTCCCCTCCTCTCCCCGTCCATGTTTTACTTCCATGTAAAATGCTTTGTTGACAATCCCTAAAAAGGTTGGGTGTGGTGAAGGACCAACCATTGGAATGGACTTTGATGAGTTGGGTTGAAAGTGTTAACAGGTGATGGATATGGCACATGTCCTTTGATGGTCATACATACCAGGAAGGAGGGGGAAGCAGAGAGAGAGTTAGGGTATTTGAATTCCCTCCAAACCTTTGTGATAGAAGTTTACTAAAATTTGCTACTTATTAATTTACATGAAAGCTTACTAGGGGTATTTAAAGTCAAAGCATCAGGAAGGATGGGGTTTGGGGTTATGTGGTTCTAATGGTAACCCATTGGAAATTGGGGTTGCTGCGCAATGTTAACCCATTGAGAATTGGGGTTTTTCCCAAAGAAACCCCATTTTCTGTTTCCATAAACATGCATGACTCAAAAATAAGGATGCGTATAAAGTGTGGAACAACATTTCAAACATAATTTAAGCTAACAAACTAGCAAAATCCCCTTCCACTATAATGTTTTCTAGAATTGGCACGAAATGTTGAAGACATATTAACAATAACTGGGCTTCAGCTTCATTCCATTAGCAACATGGTAATGGCACTCTGAGTAAGTCATGCATATCCTTAGCTCATAATCTCAGCCCAACCGCCATCCCTGCCGGCCCAGCATTTCCTTGTACTGATATCAAAATTTTGATTTTATAAGCCTCCATTCGGGGTATCCATGTCCCTCATTGTGTATAATATGTGTTGTTAGCCCATTCCTTGCACTAGAAAAAATTCATAAAATGCGGACTCCTGCAGTTCCATTGAAAATATCTCTTACCTTCAATCATACACTAAATTATTGTAGCAAGTTAACAAGGAATCTCAACATTTTCAAATCATAAGGCATGATGACCATGTAGTTGTAAGCAGTGTAGAAAACTCACCCCCCAGGCCTGGGTGCATTGCCTAGGGGGTAGGTGGCCAACCAAGGCAGTGATTGCAGTAGGCATTTTCCATTTGCCAAAGGTAGGTGCCTGGACGGGCATCCAAGCAGACAATAGGGAGGATGCCTGCTCAAATGCTAGAGGAAGATAGGTTTGCTTGAATGTTGTAGCGGGATAAAGAAAAAACCTGCTCAGATGTCGTCCAATCACATAAGAGTTGAGAAGCCCAATAAGGAAGAGCAAGAGATTGTGAAAGATTTGAGAAGCCCACTCAAATGCTAGAAAGAGGAGTCAGATAGAAAGAGAAGCTCGCTAGACTGTTGAAGGATTACTTGGTTACCCATCACATGGAAGAAAGTAAGGAGAGAGAAACAAGAGAGAAAGAAGAGAGAGAGAGTCACGTGGGTTTTGTTGGTTTACATATGCAGGTATACACGAGTGCCAACAGCTGTCCAACCTTATCACATTAAAAAATAAATAAAAAAACACCTGCCCAACCTTATTAGATAAGCAAGCATGAACCCCCCCCAACTTCGAGCCACCTAGATATCTAGGTGAGGGCCTAGGCAGCCGAATCCGTGTTCTCCAAAACTGTCTCTAAGCTTTATGATACTTGAAACAAATGTCCACCTTAAGTAACATAAGTAAGCACTCAAAGGCATATATATTTTAATTCAAAAAATGCCAGCCATCCCCTAACCATGTTAAGCATTTGACCTGTTGACGTACGTTTATTTATTGTCCAGTTTTGAGATAAAATCTCACTACACGTACAGTTAGATTAAAAATACTTGATAAACATGCATGATTTGCATCCATCAGTAAACTATCAATCTATATGTGCTTTTCTTGTTATATTTTTCTAGTGATTTTTCCTTTGTTGTTAGTTATATTGATGATTGCACTAGCACGAGCCTTTTTGAAGAATCGTATCAATCAGGTTTCAAAAGCATTTCAATGCGTGAATGATGAGGAGCATGGAACACTAAATTGCTTCAAGGATTTGCATAGTTTAATTTCTCATGATAACATTTATTCATAACACTAGCTTCGTCTCCTAGCTCTACCGGAACCCTGCCCCTCTTGCGGAGTTGGGTATGCCCCTCCCTCCGCTCTACAACAATTATGCCCACCTTGTTAAAACCCCTTTCTTTCCTCCTTCCCCCCCCCCTAAACGGATTCCTAAGCAACCTTCCTCCTCTCTTCCATCCTCTAACTCTCCTTTCCCCCCAATACACCTCGCCCCCCCAGATCCTTCTTCCACCTCTGTTGGCCCTAAACTTATCCCTCTTCCTGGTGAACGTACCACCGAACATAAACGCAAACTCCTTTCCGCTTTAGTTGATGCTTTTCATCCCCGTCGTGATGATGTTAGAAGCATCACGAAATTGACGTAACGCATCTGGAAGGAAACAGACCGTGGCAACCATAACCTTTCTGATGGGTCTATACTATTATGCTTCCCTTCAGAACACAGTGCCCCCACCGGGCCATTCCAAGCCCCTCACCTCCTCCTTTTAAGGGGGTGCAAACCTCACCCTAGAACGCTAGTCCCAAACGCTCAAGGCTTTTAGGAAACAAAAGATCTAGCTTAGGGCTTCTCAGATCCCTCTCCACACCTGACACCCTCAGGCTCATCGGCAGTGCA